GGCCGCGGTCTTCGAGGCGGCTGTAGCACAGACGGGGTGTCCTGTTGGCAGAGACGAAGGGACAGGGCTCTTTGTAGAGGCCACGGCTAGTGACGGGGAGGTGACCATGGGCCACCTGGCCTTGGAGACACCCCGCGCCTTGGGCGCCGGGCTCGTGGGTAGATCCACGGGCGCCGAGGACAAAGTGGGCTTTGGGGGTTCACGGCGGGGAGCCGCCCTAACGTGTCAGATCATGGGAGGGAGGCAAGAACACCCCACTGGTAGCTTGGGGGGCGTGCAAGGCTCCTCGGAGACGAGAGCCCCCTCAACAGGAAGGCTCGCGCCAACCACAGACGTCAAGAAAGCTTCAAAAAATCATGGCTCCGAGCATCCCCGTCAACAGGAGAACGTTTATTAGCCACGGTATTAATAGCTAGGAAACAGCCCGAGCGGCCCGGGCCAATCAGCGGCCAGGAGCCCCTGTCGTCAGGCCTGCTCGGCCAATCAGACGCCAACAGGCCGAGTTGCTAGCCTTCCCGGGCAGAGGAGAGGGGCTTGCATTGTCACGGGGGCTCCAGCTCGCCCTCCACGCGTGGGAGGCCAGTGTGGGAGCCCAGGCAGCCACCAGAGAGCGTCCATCGTCACGCACTCGGGGGTCCCTGGAGTCTGTCTTAGAGACAGTGCCTCCTGGCATGAGTTCTGCAGCCCCAGAGATCATGAGCTGACACTCTGGCAGGAGCCCCCGGCCTGGGTTGGGGTGCCTCAGGGAGGCCCAGTGGAAGGAGAAACTCCAGACATGCAATGCGCATCTCTCTCCAACAGGCTGGGCCCCACGAGGGGAGCGGGGCGTCCCAGCGCCAAGTCAGCCTCTCTTGCTTTTTTTTTTTTTTTTCTGGGCTCCCTGGCTCCTCGCCTGCTGCTCTGAGGTTCACAGTAAACCCTGCTCCTCTTTTTCAGGGTCTTAACTGACAGGCCAAGGCAAAGGACCCTGGAAATGATGTGTTTCTGACAAAAGTGGGGCGGGTGTGCGTCCCAGCGCTGCCCCCTCCGATCTGGGAGGCTGGGGTCCAAGCCCTTCTCCCAGGGCCCCCTATGTCCTCATCTGGAAAAAAGAAAGAGTTGGACAAGATGGTCCCCAAGGAGCCTTGCAGCCCTGCTTTGCTTGATTTGAATGTATACATCAGGCGAGTCAAATGTCTTCCAGAACATTGTGCCTGACAGTAATTAGTATCAGGTGTGCCCTGCAGCCCATGTGGTTACTTCATCACGCTGCTTTTCTTTCCATTGTATTTTATTTTAAACAGAACTCCATGGCAACATGTGTATTCTTCTGGCTCCCTAAAAGAAAGGAAGAAAGAAAGAAAAAGATAGAAAAAAGAAAAAGGCTGCTGTAAACGGATCTTGCTGAGTGTGGTTTAACCACACTACAAAAAAAATTAAAAAAAAATAAGAAATCCATATGTTTAAATGTTTTTGTTGGCTTTTCTCAAGCTCAGAACCTAACTTTTAAAATATTTATTGGTCCAAAGCAATGGAAGAAATAACTTAAAAGAGCCAATCTATGGTAATCTCTGGATCCCAATGGTTCCTCCATGCTTTCCTCGCTCGAAAAAGACCTTGGAGGGCTCAGATTCATATCTATAGGGCAGAACAGACGAGGAAATCCAGGTTGAGGAACGGCTCACTGTCTTTTCTGTACATGCTGAAACCCAACTCTCCTGAAAGGCCCTGGAGGAAAGCCATGTCCCAGACGCACGGCTTAGCCTGCTGCCTTTTTTTTTTCTCCTTCACGTAGATCTAATTCAAAGCACACATTTTTCTTCTTTTTTTAATTCATACTTGGGAACCCTCAAAAGCCATGTGAGCGGTCTCCTATCCACATGTACATACTTGTGGGCAAGTGTACAACCGTCCTAAGATTCAGCCAGGAACGGAGGACAAGGTCCTTCTCTATCCGTCTCCCGGGTGTGGGTCAATGCGCTCTTCCTCTCAAAACTATACTGAGAGCTTTTACAGAACAGGATCCCCTCTAAGCAGGCCTTTTCAGCCTTCTAGGTACGCTCACCGCCCCCGCCCCCCTCAAAATCGTTGTGTTCCCCAGAGATCTCTCCGGGCCCTGCTCTGAAACTCCTTTCAGTTGCTGGGCTGTGTGTCAAACAACAGTCCCATCCATATCCCAGGGTCCTGGGGTTGATGGGGTCTTCTAGAATGCACACCAACCCACACAGCCTTTCAGGGACCTGATTTTGCCTTCAAAATAGAGGCGAACCTCTTTAGTTGGACATTTAAGGACTCGTGTGATGGGCTCACTTCTTACTTCTTTTGGCTTATCCAAATTCAACTCGTACCCAAATTCCCTTCGAGTTGTATATTTGGGGGGGGGGGGGGGGCGGTCCCTGCTATGTTGTGATCCTGGGGCTGGGGAGTGAGGAGCACCATGGCTGCCTGCACACTTCTGGACTTCTACCCAGGACCCCGATATCAGGCGCACGCTGCTCCCCTGAAACGTGGATTCTGGAGGCAGCGCCAACCTTTGCATAGAGGCGTATGCCGAACTGTAGATATTAAAAGACAAATAAAATTCGGCCTTTTGCAAAAGGCCAAGGATAAAGCTTACTTCCCGGTAGACCTCTGGGCTTCCAGGCAGAGCAGAGCAGAGCGTGTTGACTCTGAGGTCCGCGTACGTGGGAAAGGGTAAGCATTGCTCCTTGGGGATACTTGTCATGACCACAGACAGGGAAAAAGAGCTAGAAGGTAACACCCCAAAATTACCCCGTAACACCCCTAAAAACCATGACTTGTTCTGGACAATAGATTCTGTCCATTTTTCTTTTTTCTACTTTTATGGATTTCTTTAGTGGCATCTATTGCTTTTATAATGTACATTTTTCTTTTTAATGTAACAATCCAAGAAGACTGGCCATTTGAGCCTCTTCCGTAGGGACCTCAAATATGTAATATTTTTCTAATAAGTAAATAAAAATCAAGACACTCAGGATACCCTGCCTGAGGAGCTCGAGGCACCGTCCCCACCAGGGGCTCCAGCGCGGGGTGTGCACCGCAGGGGCCTGGAGCCGGCCCCGCAGCCACGTCAGACCTCTGGAAGGCCTCTCTTGAACCCACCACAGAGGCGAACAATTCCAAGCTGGGAACGACAACAACAAAAAATGAACTCCACTGGTTTCATTCCTGCAGGAGGGGCCTAGAAAAACCCATCGCCTAGGGAATGAGAAAGGCCAAAAAATGGGGTCTTGGCAAAGCAGGCCAGCGCCAGGGGTTGGATTTTAGAAGAAGTCACATCCCGACACTAGGAAAACGTGGCCACGTCGCTCAGCCTCGCCCCCACAGGGCCCCCCTAGCCTTGGGCGTGGGCCAGCCCCGGATTCAAGCTAGGGGTTTTCTTGGCCCAACTCCATGGAAATATTTCCTTCGTGGAGCAAAGAACTGCTTCATTCAACTGCCTGCGGCTAGGGAGGGGGCTGGCTTTACTGTGTTGACAGAGAACGCAGAGGCCTGGGGAGGGGCCCCAGAGGAGAAAATGTATTCCAGGTAGAACAGGACTGGAAAGTTTGCTTTTAAAAAAAAAAAAAAATTTTTTTTTTTTTTTCAAAAAAAAAACCGAAAAGATTGCTGACAGTTGAAAAACTGCCACCCCACCCAAGAGGCTCCAAGAGAAGACATTTGTTTGTACTAGATTTCAGGGAGGACTACAGCAGGGACCTGTCTTCTTAACGGCAAAGGGAAGGGGGCCAATTCCGGGCATGCTTTCAGTTTAAACATTCGAGGTCT